TAGAATAAAAAAGAGAGACTCAAATAAAACTAGAAGTGAAAGAAGAGACATTACAACTGATGTCACAAAAGTAAAAATCATTATGAAAGTACTATGAACAATTAATTGTATGCCAACAAATTAGATAACCTAGAAGAAATGGATACATTCCTAGAAACATACAACCTACCAAGACTACATCATGAAGAAACAGAAAATCTGCACAGACATATAACTAGTATGAAACTGAATTAGTAATTTTTTAAAAATCTCCAAACAATGAAACACCCAGGACCAGATGGTTTAACTCAAGAATGCTAGCAAACATTTAAAGAAGAATTACTGTCAACCTTTCTCAAACTCTTCCAAAAAGTTAAAGAGAAGTCAATACTTCCTAACTCAATGTATAAGGTCAGTATTACCCTGATACCAAAGCTAGACAAAGACACTATAACAGGAAAACAAGCATACAATAATCCCTGATGAATACAGATGCAAAAATCCCCAACAAAGTTTTAGCAAAACTGAATTCAACAACACATTAAAAGGATCATACACCATGGACAAGTGAGATTTATCCCCTGGATATAAGGATGGTTCAATATATGAAATCAATGTGATACACCACATTCACAGAATGACCTGATCACTTCAATAGATACAGAAAAACATTTAACAAAATTTACATCCTTTCATAATAAAAATGCTGAACAAAGTAGAAATAGAAGGAAATTTCCTAAACATAGTAAAAGCCATATTTGAAAAAAACCACAGTTAATAACATATTCAAGGGTTAAAAACTGAAAGCTTTTCCTCTAACATCAGTAACAAGGCTAGGATACTCACTCTTGCCACTTCTATTCAACATATGTAAACCTAGCTAAAACAATTGAGGGGGATAAAAGGAAGGAAATTAATTAATTAATTAATTAAAGGCATCCAAATTGGAAAGAAGCAAAACTATCTTTGTTTACAGCAATATTATCTTTTATGTAGAAAACACTAAGGATTCTTAAAAAAAAAAAAAAGTTGTTAGAGCTAATAAACAAATTTAAGATACAAAAATCAACATGCAAATATTAGTTGCATTTCCATATACTAACATTGAACAATCTGAAAAGGAAATTAAGAAAACAATCTCATTTACATTAGCTTCAAAAAAATAAAATGCTTACACATCACGTTAATAAAGGAGACATAAGACTTGTATATTGAAAACTACAAAACATTGCAGAAATTAAAGAAGGCACAACTAAATGGAAAAGTTTCCCATGTTCATGGACTGAAAGACTTAATATTGTTAAAATGTCCATTCTATCCAAAGCAATCTACAGATTCAGTGCAAACCCTATCAAAATCCCAACAGTATTTTTTGCAAAACAATCCTAAAATTAACAAATGACTTCAAACAGCCAAAACAATCTTGAGACAGAATAATAAAACTGGAGGCTTCACAATTCATAACTTCAAAACATATTACAAAGTTAGAGCAATCAGTACAGTTTGGAAGTGGCATAAAGAAAGATAGATACACAGACTAATGGAACAGAATAGAGAGCCGAGATATATATAGAGAGAGTTTATTCAACAAATGGTGCTGGGAAAATTGGATATCCCCATACAAAGAATAAAATTGAATCCTTATAATATACACAAAATCACTTCTTTGTATTGTGTGAATTAAAAACTTAAGCCGGGTTTGGTGGCTCAGTCTGTAATCCTGCGCCTTTGCGAGGCTGAGGTGAGTGGATTGCCTGAGCCCGCGGGTTTGAAACCCACCTGGGCAGCAAGACCTCATCCCTACAATAAATAAATTTTTAAAAAATCAGCCGGGCAGGGTAGCGCGCGCCTGTAATTCTGGCTACTCGGAAGGCTGAGGCAGACGGATCGCAGGAGCCCAGCAGGTAGAGCCTACAGTGGCCAGGAGCGGCCACTGCACTCCAGTCTGGGCGACAGAGTGAGACTCCAACTCCAAAAAAAAAAAAAAAAAAACAACTTAAATATATACCTGAAAGTATAAAACGCCTAGAAGAAAGCAAAGAAATGCTTCGTAACATTGATCTTAGTATTGGTTTCTTGAAACTGACCCGAAAAGCACAGGCAACAAAAGCAAAAATAGACAAGTGAGATTTTATCAAGTTAAAAAGCTCCTACACAGAAAAGAAAACAACAAAGTGCAAAGACAACCTACAGAATGAGAGAAAATATATGCAAACCATATAACTAACTGATAAGGGGTTAATATACAAGGTATAGAAAGACTCCTTCAACTCAACAACAAAGTATCAAGCAAATCATTTTTTAAATGGGCAAAGGACTTGAATAGACATTTCTCCAAGTAAGACAAACAAATGATCAACAGGTATATGAAAAGATGCTCAATATCACTAATCAGGGAAATGTAAATCAAGCCTACAATGAGAGGACAGTCATTATAAATGATATATGTTGGTGAGGATGGCAGCTAAATTGTAAAATGATGCAGTCGCTATGGAAAACAGTATAGAGGTTTCTCAAAAACTTAAAAACAGAATTACCATCTGACCAGCAATTTCACTTTCAGACTATTGCCAACAGAATTGCAAACATGATTTATATGAAATATTCATACTCCATATTCATTGCAGCATTATTCACAATAACCATGGGGTAGAAAGAACCAAAATGTCCGTCAACAGATGAATGGATAAAGGAAATGTGGTAAATTCATACAATGGAATATTATTTGGCCTCAAAAAAGAAAAAAATTCTGTCATATGCTGCAACATGTGTAAGTGTTAAGGACATAAGCCAGTCACAGGACAAACACTGCATGATTCCATTTCTAAGAGGTCAAATAATCAAACTTATTAGAAGGTACAATGATGTTTGCTAGGGGACTGAAGGAAGGAAAAATGGAGATCTGCTGTCCAACGGTTATAGAGTTTAAGTTTTGCAAGATGAAAAAGTGCATATAGCTAACAATCCTGTACCACCGTACACTTAAAAATTTATTGAGAGGTTAAATTTCATGTTATGTATTTTTTTCCACATTTTTTAAAAATGAAAAACAAGAATGTACAGGAGAATATTTAGGGGCACGTAAATGGGCACAGAGAAAAGAATCTAGGAAGAAGAGACAAGCACAAAGGCCTACAGTGGGAAAATAACCTATTCAGTGGGGCTCAGACTGTAATCCCAGCACTTTGGGAAGCCGAGGTCAGTGGATTGCATGAGCCCACAGTTTGAGACCAGGCAACTTGGCGAGATCTCGTCTCTACAATAAATAAATAAATAAAAATTAGCCAGATGCGATAGCACGCGCCTGTAGTTCCAGCTATCTGGAAAGCTGAGGCAGAAAGATCGCGGGAGCCCAGCAGGTCGACCCCAACAGGACGATGCTGGGGTGGCCATGAGTGTGCCACTCACTCCAGCCTGGGTGACAGAGTGAGATTCCAACTCAAAAAGAAAAAGAAAAAAAGAAAGTAAGAAGTCCATTATGGCATAGGCATAGTGAACTAGAAAGAGTGGTAAAAGATGAAACTAGAGATGCAGGCAGAAGCTTAATCAAGCAGGGACTTAAACAGACCATTTAAAGATCTGGACTGATTGATTTAGAGTCAGAGTCTCACTCTGTTACCTGATCTGAAATGCAGTGGAATAATCATAGCCTCTGCAGCTTCAACCTCATGGGCTCAAGTGATCCTTCTGCCTCAGCCTCCCAAGTAGCTGGGACCATAGGCACACATCACCAAGTCTGGCTAATTTTTTTATTATTGTAGAGACGAGGTCTCGCCATATTGTCTAGGCTGGACTCAAACTCCTGGGCTCAGGCAATCCTCTCATCTTGGCCTCCCAAAGAAAGATTTGAATTTTATCCGAAACTCTAAAGAAAGCTTCTGAATGGTTTTAAGAAAAGGAATACCATAATCTAATTAGTAAATAGGAATGATCGATCACTCATTGAACAGCCCTGCTTTACAAGGCTCAATTAATAAAATTAGGAAATAATCTCCACCAAAAGAAACAAAGGGAAATTTTCAGAAATATCTGGAAATTTAGATTTAAGGCAAAACTATATTAAAATAGAAACTAATAAAAGCTGTGGTTCTACAATGAAAGTGGCTCAAATATTCTGCATGAAATATGAGTTCAACATTGTTAAACTACAATAACTTGGTAAACTTTTTCCAAAAATGGCAGGCATGTATTTTGAGTTCCCTTTGATAGGATAGCATTTTTTTCAACTGACAGAGAAAAACAGTGATGGAAACATGTCTAATGTCTGACTTCTCATTAACCAGAGTGTCATGATTTGATTGTGTCCCCTCCAAAATTCAAGTGTTGCTACTGTGATAGTACGAAGATGCAGAGCTTTCAAGACGTAATCAGGCCATGAGGGTTCTGCCCTAATGAATGGGACTAGGTAACCTTATAAAGGGCTTGATGGAGAGAGTTTGTCGTCCCTTTTGCCCTCCTGCCTTCTGTCACGTGAGGACACAATGATCCCCCCCTCCAATGATCCTCCCCTCAGGAGGATGAATCAAGGAGCTATACTAGAAGCAGAGAGCAGCCCTCCCTGGACACCGAACCTGCTGGCACCTTGATCTTGGACTTCGAAGTCTCTAGAAATGTGAGAAAATTAAATACTATTCTTTGTAGATGACCCAGTCTCAGGTATACTGTTATAGCAGCACAACATGGACTAAGACACACAATATGAAAAATGAGTGAGCTTCAGTTGAAAAGTCTGATATGCAATATACTTAGAGTATTTTTTGAAGCTTCTAGATGTTTGAGTTGCATCAGTCCTGAACAGCATCATATACCATTATATAGAACAAAAAAAATTATTCTCAAACTTACCTCAATCTCAACACACTATTTAAAAATATAGTACAATAATACATATGGGAAAGTTACCAGTTTCAGTGTGCCTTTTTCCCTTCTTGCTGGCAGTCAACTCAAAAGAAAAAACATAAACAACGTTTACCCTGATGAATTATTTATTTGTGAAGGCTTTATGGTCAGAAAAACCTTACCAACAGTACAGCTGTCTTCAAGTACCACATCAACATTTCTGTCTCTGTACTCAACCCTGAAGTCCAGCATCCGAGGTTGCCTTTCTACAATCTGCCTGGATGGCATTACAGGTCGAAAAGCCGAAGAAGAAGGGGTAGGAGCTGGAGTTGGATGACTTGCTGGATTAAATGCAGGTCCTGGTATGGTCTCACCTCCATATTCACTAAAATGTTGACATAAAATAAAGATTATCATCAGCCAAATCATTACTGAATACCACTAGGTACCCTCTCCATCCTTAGCTTGTGTTGTTCTTCCTATCAAGTTTATTTAGCAGGGTGTCAAGGCCAAACTTAAAATCTACTTCCTCTACAAAAATCACTCTCAATGACCAAAGGCCACATTACTCTCCCTCTGTCCCTGCTTTTCTATATGTATTAGCAGTATCATAACATTTAGGATTTAATTAGATTGTTACCTTCTGCTGCTATGATGTGGATAAAACATCATTTTAAACTCTTTAAATTGAGAACAGTGTCTTTTTCAAACACTCCTGTTTACTCACTGAATCAGTATTTGACTCAATAACTCTACTTTCCATAAAGACTACTTTGAAACTTCACTGACCTTAAACCTCAATACTCCCTATCTCATTTCTCAGTCTTAAAAGAGATCTTTCTACCTTGCCACGAAAACAAAACACATCAAGAGAGATTTTCCTTATCTTAGTATCAAATCCACAAACTAATGCAACATGTACACTCTCTTTCTCCCTTCCTTTAAAAAAGGAACATAAATTCTCCTATCACTTCACAAAATCCAAAGCAATCTTCTCATTAGCTCTATACTATGGATTATCCCTTTCTTTTTCAGTTTGACATCCCATTCTCGTCTAGATTCTTTTGAATAACATTTAAATATATTCCGATCTCTTCCTTCTTAAAAAAAAAATAGAGACAGGGTCTCACTATGTTGGCCAAGCTGTTCTCAAACTCCTGTCCTCAAGTAATCCTCACAATTCAGCTTCCCAAAGTACTCAGATTACAGGTGTGAGCCACCACGCCCCGCTCTCCCTTCTTAAGAAAAACTAAAATCTTGTCCCTGCCTACTTAGTACCTGTATTATTTATAAAATGCCTTGTTTTATAAAATGTCTTGTTTATAAAATGGGAACAATAATTATACTTGCACAACACCTGGTGCCTAGTAAAATCTCAAACTCAGTATGTCCAAAGCTTAACTCATCAACGTTTCCCCACGCCTGATCTTCTTGTTGTTCCAAATATCAGCAACACAAGCCAGAAACCTTGGTGTCATCTTGGTCCCTTCTTCTCTTTCAACCCCCATATCTAATCCGTACTTTAAATTTTACCTCCTAAATATCTTTCAATAAGTCATCATCTTTACCCTCTGATGCTGCCTCTCTAGTCCAAGCCATAGTCACCTCTAGTACAGACTAATGCCTCCTAACTAATTTCTTTGTACACACTCTTGCAATCCTGCATTCCATTCCACAATATCCCTGGAATGAAAAACATCTTCATACCATTTTGTCCTTAACCCTTCAATTACTTCCCTCTGCTCTTGAGATAAATACTCATTGTGGTTTCTGAGGCCCTGTATGATCTGAATCCCATCTACCTTCCCATCCTCATCTTGCCCTGGCGTGTGTCTGTTCATACTAACAGCTACATAGCCTTTCATTTCTTCTCACACCTTAATTCTTTCCATTTCATGGGGGAACATAGGTTACTCCCTTTAAGAATATTCTTTCCTCCACAACTCATCCCTGCTTTTATCGTTCTTCTAACTAATTATGCTCATCCTTCATATCTCAGATTGAATGTTTTTCAACTCAGATCACATTTTGCTTCCTTAAACTAGGTCTAATACCCCACTACTATCTATAATTATAAATTAGTTGTATAATTAATCATTTGTCACCTGTGCCCCCACTAGAATATAAGCTCCACAGAAATAAAGCTCAAATTTGTGTTTTTAATGGCTGTATCCTCAGCCCTGAGCTTACAATTTTGTACACAGAAGACACTCAGAGATTTACCAAACTAATGAGTAAAGAAATTATTATTATTTATCAAATGTGTTGTCACTTTTTTACTCCCTGAGGAAAAGGGGAGGGAGGGAATTTGGTGTGTTCTGTCACAAGATCACTAATGTATATATCTTTCACCACCACCATAAATCAAGACCAACTCTAAAGCATCTTTCTCCTCCCCCTTAATTTAAGAAAAAACAAAGGACCAGGAACCTGGTACAGGAACAACAACAATAACAAAAAACATGCTGAGTTAAGCACTACTCACACAATTAAGAAGGAAAAATATTTATTTTTACTTCCCTTCTTCACACTATTGCTCTGAACAGAGTTTATCAAACTGTAGATTATATAGTTAATTTAGTAGGTTGTGATCAGTCTTTTAAAGATTAGAATACAACAGAACTGAATGGAAATTATCAGCATGTGTCACTTAGTAGTTAGGACCAAGTATTGTTCCATAATACTTTTGATTCTGTTATATATTTGTATATTTGTGTTTGTGATTTTAAGCGATTTCATAGTCAAAAAAGTTTGAAAACAATCAGTTCGGATTTCACCTGAGTTCAGTTACTACCAGTAATCACTGATCCAAGACAAAAACCTATCCCCTCTTTTAGTTATTAAATTAAAAGAAAACAGTCTTGTGGAAACCATGGAAACAGAGAAAATGTTCAAAGCAGGGAAAAACGCCACCGCTGAAATCCAAAGTGAGCTCCTAAATATCTATGAACAGAATCTGTGCAATGACACTTCACATCTCTAAAGTTTATCACAACTTCTCAGAACCTAAGAAAAACAGCTAGTATAAATAAGCTGGTCACAGACTTATTGTTTCTTGACTCTAAATTCACCTTTTCATATAGCCTATTCTATGATGTTGGAGCCAGGATTCTGCAAAACTGCATTTTCTTTTAACAGATGGCTTACTGTAAGATTCTGTCAATAGGAAATACTATATAGAGAATAGTAGTTAGGAGGAGAAGAGAGACTTCCTTTTTCCTGCTTGTATACATTTCCATCAGTATCATCCTGTAAGTAGGTTCCAGGCTTCTGCTTTTTTCCACACTCTTATAACCAGCTTCTTAACATTTCCTTAGATACCAGCAGTAGCTGGACAGTATACATTCACAGAAGTCTGAACCCCAGCTTCAGGGGTCCCCCATGTGCTTCATAGTTCTGTTAACACTTTTGTTCCTAAACCTAAGAGCAGTAGCTTCCTCTGGCAGTTATTCCATCAAGGTTAACTCTTTTTGCTCTTTGAGTTCTCCTTGCCTATGTAACCAATCCTACATTAAACTATCTCTGCTAAAATACCTAGTATGGTTTCACTTTCCTTACTGACTCTTGATACAGTAAAGGAGTCCCAGGAAACATACTTTAAAAGACAGAATTCAGGAATTTACTTGATTATACATCCTTGACCTTCAATTCACTGCTAGACCCTTGTCAATGGAAAATAAAATGCTAATTCCTCATGCCATGCATTGGCATGATGATTATTAAATTATCACTTATGGCTATTAAAACAAGTACCTAACTAGACCAAATGACTATTTGACTTAATTATTATAGTGGTAATAATGACAGTGAAGCTGGGTGTGGTGGCTCAAACCTGTAATCCTAGCACTTTGGGAAGTCAAGATGAGAAGACTGCCTGAGTCCAAGGGTTCAAGATCAACCTGGGCAACTTGACAAGACCTCATCTCTACAATAAATCAAAAAAATTAGCCAGGCGTGGTGGCAAGCTCCTGTAGTTCCAGCTACTTGAAAGGCTGAAGCGGAAGGATTGCCTGAGCCCAGCAGGTTGAGGCTGCAGTGACCATGAGCATGCTACTGGCACTCCAGTCTGGATGACAGAATGAGACTCCAACTCAAATAAAAACAACAACAAGGACTCAAGAATGGCTGCTTCTGACTGAGAGACTTAAGGAAGAAAATGACACAGAGAGTTTTTAACTTTCAGTTCAAGTCATGACAGCTACTAAGTTTTGAAAATTGCCTTTTTAGGAGTACTTTTTCCTTTTTTCTGAATGAAGTAAATGTTCAGAATTTATTAATGTGCAACATCAAAATCTGAGATATTACACAAATCCAAACCCTTTAAAATTTTTATCTATTAGACATTCTTGTAAACACGTGTATGACCCTGCTAAGAACTGGGTCCAAAATTTACTTTTATAGATTAGAGAATTATAGCAAAAAGTTGAATAAACATACTTTCTACGTCTCTTTTGTGAAAGTCGAGGTAATGTTTTGAAAAGAATGAGACCCTACGATATGGAATAAGAACAGCTGGGTGGACTTAGATGAAGGTTAGAATTTTGATCACCAAGCAGAAACAGCTCCTTGTCCCATGACTGAGACAACTAGCCTCCACTTGCTTGAAAACCCTATTAATACTCTTACCTGAAAGGGGTAAGGGTACTTTCAACTTACCTGGAAAGGGGATGCCTATTCTCAAAACCTACCACCCACCATTCCTTATTGCTTCTAAAATCAGCTCTAGGTATACTGAGAACAATTATAATGACTTAACTGAGAGATTGTTCATCTACAAAAATAATGATAACATTTTGATAAATTATATCAGCAAAACCTTAGCAATAGGTACGGAAATAAATTTGAGGTGTGTTTGACCAAAAGAATTTGGATAGGGCCAAATATAATGTGTTAGCTTAAACCCTAATAGCTTGTTTCTTAACTGGATGAAAAGTCTCAGAGTCTACATTTGGGAGGGAGGGGGGAGGGCACATGGGATTACAAAGAGTATCTGATCCTAAACTAGGGGAAGTGAGGACCAGTTGGAGGCCCAAACTTCACCTGCATGTAGACTACTTACATACCTAATCTTGACGTGTACCCTACATCTCAATAATAAAATAAAGAGGGGGAAAAAAGAGTCTACATTTAGTGAGGATGAGATACCCAAACTTTCCTAGCATAATGTAGAAGAAATCCAGATGCTTAAATAAATAGGAATACTGGAGTGGATTTACCATGTAGAACATGAATATATATACACGCTCCTATACATCATCTATTAGGTCCTGGAGGATATGGCATTGAAGCACTGAATAATACATCAGTAAGGGAATGTTTTGAGAAACCCTGTAGGGGCTGTCTTTGATAGGTTGGGTATGACATGGGGAGATGACACCACTGAGG